AAGTAATCATCGCCCATGTAATTACGCGTACCGTAGTACTCATTAATGGCTTCCGCCGAGAAGTCGACCGGAACGCCCCGACAATACAAACATTAGTTTCGAGGCCATCCTTTGCATTCGCATAGAATTCCCGCCACCAGATTGTAAATGCATCTCCTGGTTGAGCAAGGAATCGGGGTGCCCAATTCCACGCTTCCGGGGCCACTATATGTGCGCACGTTCTTTTAGAACGGGCCGGGCAGACATCAACTGATGGTATCGTTGAGCCGCTGCGTCTGTATACAAAACGTTTATATTGTGCAGCATGTTGTGGTTGTTCCCGGACTTGCGAAGATTCGGCTCTTGGCTGTTTGGATGGTTGACGGGCTCTTGGTGCCATAGGAAAAACCTAAAAAAATAAAACAAAACTTTCAAGTACTTGATCTAGAATTTATAGCCAAAATATCAAAAGTGAGTCTAAGGATTTCAAACTTTTCAATCAAGGGCACAAACTTCACTTGGGCATTTAATCAAACACCTTGTGGGCATGAACTTTAACACTAGGTTTATGTAAAATTGACATATCAAATTCATCCCACAAGTTCACCGCACAACAAAACAAGGGTACCCATCATCAGAAGCAAGGTCTACAATCATCATAGACTAAAATAAGGAATTAAAACTATCAAAACAAAGTGAAATAGAGCTTAAACAACCAACGAAGAAATTTAGAAAATTAAATCAAAATGTGAGTGCAATGGTTCTAATGTAGCAATTACAACATGTATATAGCAACAATCAATCATTAGTAATCAACAATGGGCAATTTATCTAACCAAAAATTCAAAATCAGGGGAAAAATTCGTGGGTAGGGCGCCTACCCAAGAATAGAGCAAAAATGTACCTCCAAATCAAGAAATTGAAAGTAGAAAAGAGTGATTATTGTTACCTTGCAGCTTTAGGAAGTGAATGGAGAGGAGAACCAGAGGATTCGGACCTGGGATATCTTGGGCGAGTGAGAGATTGAGAGAGAATTATGAGTTTGGGGAGAAAAATGGACCGCCGGTCGCAATTTAACAGATCTGTTCTGTCGCGTCTCGACGCGTCGAAAATTTCCAGTAGGAAAATTTTCGAGACGCGATGGTTCGACGCGTCGAGCTTATGGCTCGACGCGTCGAAATTTCCAGTAGGCTATCCCTTCAGGCTCGACGCGTCGAAAAATTCCAGTATGGAATTTTTCGCCTAGGTCGATTTTTGGCCTTTTACTTAGCCGAAAACAACCCTATACCGCTGTTTGACACAGAAACCAGAAAAACACTCAAATTTTGTAAACAAACTAGAACTAAATAATTAGCAAGAAATAAAAATGCAATAAATTAAAGGATAACATGGGGTGCCTCCATGGAGCGCTAAGTTTAACGTTGCTAGCTCGACTGTACCTCCTTTCAGGTGTCACATGTAGGTCGGGAGATGAAGGCAATGTATCACATTGACCTTAGGTTCCTCGGGTGAATAGTAGTGCTTCAACCTTTGTCCATTGACCGTGAATTCATCTTGTGTTCCTTGAAGCACCACGGCACCCGATGGATGTACCTTAATCACTTTGTGTGGCCCAGTCCACTTGGATTTTAATTTTCCTGGGCATAATTTCATCCTTGAATTGAATAGAAGGACGTCGTCTCCCGGGACAAATTCTCTCTTTAGAATGTGCTTGTCATGCCACCTCTTGGTCTTCTCCTTGTAGATTTTCGCATTGTCATAGGCTTCGAGCCTGAATTCGTCAAGTTCGTTTAGTTGATGTAGCCTCTTCTCACCTGCGAGTTGCAAATCCATGTTGAGCGTCGTGACTGCCCAATGGGTTTTGTGTTCTAACTCCACGGGCAAGTGACAAGGTTTCCCATAAACAAGTCTGAAAGGTGAAGTTCCAATAGGATTCTTGAAAGCGGTCCTATACGCCCACAATGCATCATCAAGCTTTGTGGACCAATCTTTTCGAGACGGATTGACCACCTTCTCAAGAATGGATTTGATTTCTCGGTTTGACAGTTCCACTTGACTATTGGCTTGGGGATGGTATGGTGTAGAGAGTCTGTGATGAATTCCATACTTCTCAAGAACTTTCCCAACGCTTTGTTGCAAAAATGTGTCCCATTATCAGTGATCAAAGCTCTTGGTACCCCAAACTTTGCAAAAATATTCTTCTTGATGAACTTGATGACAACCTTGGAATCATTAGTAGGACAAGCAATGGCTTCAACCCATTTGGAGACATAGTCCATTGCCACTAGGATGTATTCATTACCAAAAGACTTGGGGAATGGACCCATGAAATCCAAACCCCAGACATCAAATAGTTCCACTTCAAGAATACTTTGTTGAGGCATCTCGTTTCTCCTTCCCACTGTGCCCACTCTTTGGCACTTATCACAACGAGCTATGAAAGAATGTGAATCTTTGAATATACTGGGCCAATAAAATCCTGACTGTAAAACCTTTTTCGCGGTTCGAAAAGGTCCAAAATGCCCTCCATAAGGTGATGAATGACAATGCTTTAAGACACTTTCTACCTCGTCTTCGGGCAAGCATCTTCTTAATATTCCATCTGCACATCTCTTGTATAGAAACGGTTCATCCCAAAGATAGAATTTTGCATCAGTTTGTAGTTTCTTCTTCAATGACCTAGAAGCATTTGGTGGAAATTGTTGGCAAACCACATAATTTACCAAATCTGAATACCAGGGCATAAAAGCACGAAGAGCCATCAGTTGCTCTCCCACGAAGTAATCATTGATTGGAATCTTTTCTCCTTCAGCCACTTCGTTTTGGTTCTCTAATCGGGACAAATGATCAGCTACAAGATTTTCTGTTCCCTTTTTGTCTATGATTTCCAAGTCAAACTCTTGAAGCAGAAGGGTCCACCTCATCAGTCTTGGCTTGGATTCCTTTTTGCTCATCAAGTACTTCAATGCTGAGTGATCGGTATGGACAATGACCTTGTATCCGTTTAGGTAGGATCGAAATTTATCAACAGCAAAAATCACAGCCAGCATCTCCTTTTCTGTTGTGGCATAATTAACCTGAGCCGCATCAAGAGTACGGCTTGCATAGTAAATTGGGTGTAGGCACTTGCCCTTCTTTTGACAAAGGACGGCCCCTACAGCATAGTCACTAGCATCGCACATAATCTCAAATGGTAAGTTCCAATCTGGCGGTGACATTATGGGAGCTGTTGTCAATGCCTTCTTCAATCTGCAGAAAGCTTCAAGGCAAGCATCATCAAAAACAAAGTTAGCATCTTTTAAAGCAATTGAGTTAAAGGTTTAGAGATTTTTGAAAAGTCTTTGATAAATCTCCTGTAGAACCCTGCATGGCCAAGAAAACTCCTTATTCCCTTTACTGAAACAGGTGGTGGCAATTTCTCTATGACTTCCACCTTGGCTGGGTCAACTTCAATGCCTTTTTCTGATATCTTGTGTCCAAGAACAATCCCTTGTTGTACCATAAAGTGACATTTTTCCCAATTTAGAACAAGGTTTGCTTCTTGACACTTTCTTAATGCCTCATCCCAATTATCAAGACAATTATCAAAAGAAGAACCATATACAGAAAAATCATCCATGAAAACTTCCATAGTCTTCTCAACTAAATCGGAAAAAATGGCTAACATGCACCTTTGAAATGTAGCTGGTGCATTACATAACCCAAATGACATCCTTCGATATGAAAAGGTGTCATACGGGCATGTAAACGTAGTCATCTCTTGGTCATCAGGGTGGATTGGGATCTGGAAGAACCCCGAAAAAACCATCAAGAAAGCAAAAGTAAGAGTACTTAGCCATCCTTTCAATCAGCTGATCAACAAACGGAAGAGGAAAATGATCCTTCCTGGTGGCATCGTTCAACTTTCTGTAGTCCGTACACATCCTCCACCCAGTGACTAACCTGGTAGGAATGAGTTCATTTTTCTCATTGCGGACTACAGTTGTCCCCCCTTTCTTTGGGACCACGTGAATAGGGCTGACCCACTTACTGTCAGGGACAGGATAAATGATGCCAGCTTTCAACAATTTTAGGATCTCTTTCTTCACAACCTCCTGCATCGTAGGATTTAACCTACGTTGGTGCTCAACACTGGGTCTACGCCCATCCTCTTAGTTAATCCTGTGCATGCAGTAGGAAGCACTAATTCCAACAATATCATCAATAGTGTAACCAATGATTCTCTTATGTTGTCTTAACACATTTAATAATTTTTTCGTTTCATCATCTTTCAAATGAGCACTTACAATCACTGGGTAAGTAGAATTTGGACCAAGATAAACATACCTCAAGTTTGTTGGTAAAGGTTTTAATTCTACCTGTGGTGGTTCCTTTTCCTCGAGGTTACAGGCAAGGAATACTAGTGGCAATTCCTGTGATTCCTCATCATTCGTACCATCCTCCAAGCATTCACTCTTTGTAGAATCTTCACCTTCGAGTTGTAAAGGGTCATTGGAGATCCATTTACCCCTCTCATAAGTTGCAACACATGAGTCGATTTCGTCTACATAAAAGCAAGAATCAAGACAAGAAGATTTGTTAGCCAATTCAAAAACATTAAATTCAACTTTATCTTCTCCAATCTCAAGAACTACGGTTCCTTTTTTGACATTGATTATAGCTCCAGCGGTTGCCAAGAATGGTCTCCAAGGATAATAGGAATTTTAGCATCTTCTTCCATCTCTAAAACCACGAAGTCTCCCGGAATGTAAAATTTGTCAATCTTCACTGGCACATCCTCCAGAATTCCGATAGGATATTTCACTGATCTGTCTGCCAACTGAAGAGTTATGGATGTAGGTTTTGGCCCTCCAAGTTGCAGCTTTTGACACAAAGAATAAGGCATCAAACTCACACTTGCCCCTAAATCGCATAAAGCCTTTTGAACAAGTGATCCTCCAATAACACAAGGGATAGAGAAACTCCCAGGATCCCAAAGTTTTGGAGGAAGCTTGTTTTGAATTAAAGCACTACATTCTTCACTTACTGCTACTGTCTCACGATTCTCAGCTCTCCTCTTGTTGGATAAAATCTCTTTCAAAAACTTAGCATACGAGGGAATCTCGGTCACTGCATCAATAAAAGGAATGGTGATATCCAGTTGCTTGATCAAACTGTAGAAGTTTGCTCTTCTTTCCTCTTCCCTAGATTTCTGGAATTTTTGTGGGAAGGGTAGAGGTGGTGTATGCTTCTTTACGGGTTCAATTTCTTGTATCTCATCTTCCTTATCTTGAGCAATAACACCCTCATTCACTTTCTCATTTTCACCTTCTAGATTCTTCTTGACAATTTGTTCCCCATTAGGATACGGTGGGTCCAATAATTGCTTCCCACTCCTAGTGGTGACGGCGTTCATGTGTTCACTTGGTTTTTCGGGCATAGCTGGCAACTTACCTGTGACTTTAGTACTTGATATAGATGGTTGATTTGCTAACTGATTTTCAACCATATTTTGGCGAGTATCCATCCGATCCAACCTTTCTGTAATCTCTAACTGACCTTTAACCAATTTTTCCAACAATAATTCCATATTCCACGGGACCGGTGTTTCCACATTAGGCTTGGATTGATTTACTGGAACTTGATATCCTTGGTTCTGCCTGAATTGTGGTGGATGATTTCCTCTAAAATTTTGCTGCCCCTGAAATCCTGGTGGTTGACTTCTACTATTTAAGTACTGGGGATTAGCCGCCCCAGCTGGATTACCCCAAGAGAAACCAGGATGATTCCTCGATGCATTTGGATTGTAGGTTCCTCGTTGTTGGAATGCCGGTTGTATACTACCATACCCTACCACATCAACTTGTTTCATTGTAGCTTGAGAATCAACACTGAGACACTCCTCTGAATTGTGCTCTCCTCCACACAACTCACACATCATTACAGGTCTTGGAGGAGTAGAAGCTTTAGAAACATTACCTGAAGCTTGATTCTTGATAGTAATCTGGGCCAACTGTTGAACTAAAGTGGCTACATTATCAAACTTAGCCGATAGAGCGGATATCTGATCAACTTCAGTCACGCCTCCTATCAACTTCTGGGGAGATCTCTCTGAATACCAAGTCGTCCCATTCATCGCAACCTTTTCCAACAATTCTTCAGCTTGATCTGGCTCTAGGATTGTAAATGATCCTCCCGATGAAGCATCGACTAGGATTTTTGAATTGTCCAGTAATCCCTCATAGAAAGCCATCATTAAATCCCAATTCTGAATACCGTGATGAGGACATTGTATCCTCATCTCTTTGAATCTCTCCCATGACTCTGCCAAAGACTCACCAGTTAACTGTCTGAAATTCTGAATAGATCTCCTCATTTTCTGAGTCTTAGATATGGGAAAAAAATATCTTAAGGAACTCTCTGTGCAACTGGTCCCAAGTTTCAAAATAGTTCGCCGGATAAGAGGCAAGCCAACTGTTAGCTTTATCCCTTACAGTGAATGGAAAGAGGCGAAGCTTGATAGCATCTCCCGGGACTCCATTAATTTTGAAAGTGCTGCAAATCCTCAGAAATTTTGCAATGTGAGCATTAGGGTCTTCTGTTGGTGACCCACCAAAAGGATCCAAAGCAGCCATCTGAATTATAGCCGGTTTTATTTCAAAATTATCAGCATCAACCCCTGGCACATTGATACTTCTATGTCCTGCTGCATCTGGAGCAACGTAATTTGAGATGGGCCTCCCAATGCGTAGTGGTTGATTGACTCCCTCTCCATCGAGAGCCAGATTGTTCTGATTTCCATTATTCGCCATCCTAACCTGTTTTCTTAAGAACTTGGCTCGCTTTTCGATCACTGGGTTAAAAGGTTCTAATCCTTCGTTCCCTGAAGAGCGAGTTCGCATATAACACCAAGTCCGCTGATAACAGAAACATAGCTCAACACAAGAAACTCGTTATCGATTAGCGAAAATAAAAATGAATTAAAATAAAAGAAAAGAAAATTAAAAAAAAAAAGACTAGACTCCGAAAATAAAACTTTCACTAATATTAGTACGTAGCGCCACCTCCCCGGCAACGGCGCCAATTTGATGCGTAGTATATTTGCAAACAAATAATTCCCGGAGTATTCAGGTAGTCGAACCACAGGGAGATGGGGTACTAATCACTAATTACTCGCTTACTCATAAGAGCTAGTCTGATCGAAACTTGATGGTTGATTGGTTGCATAAAATAACGAGCAAGAAATAAAACAAATATTAAGGTTTCGTAAACAATAGAGGAAAATGGGATTCTTGGGATCACAATGTTTAATCACCTAGTGCCAATTAACGTTTGTAATATTTGGTTTGGAATTAAGATCTGTGTGGGAATGCAAAGTGGAATCGAATTACTCCCGTAATCTCTATTCCTAGTGAATTTCCACTCCCGTGGCTTAAACACCCGATAAGATCGAAGATCAGCATTCAATTATTCCTAATTACTACCACCTCCCGATGAGCAACAATCTAGAATAAACTTCCCCTAATAAATTCCCCTTTTTCCAAGGTCTAACCATTAGGTGCAATCGTGTGTGCCCTAATTTATGCCCCAATTCCCATTGGTGACACAAATATGACTATGAAGCTAGTAATTTAGGCCTTTAATTACCAACAACAACAGGTTAAAACAAGATTGCAACACAAATCATAAAACCAAACATAAATATATTAAGAAATTAACGAACAAGGCACATAGGTTCATAAACAAATTCACCCAAAAATCCCTAAGGAATTTAGCCGCTCATGGCCATAATAACAGTAAATTCAATGCTTAAAGATAAACAAATAACAACGAGAATAAGAGTAAGAGTGAAAGAGTTCTCCCGAATCTTTCTAGCTAGTTCTCTATTCCAAAGCTAGTTGTAAATCTTCAAATTGGTCCTCTTTGTGCTTTGCTCTTGATTGCCTTCAAAACACCGAAATCGCAGAAGAAAAAGAGGCCCTAGGGTTGATAGAAGATGATCTTTTTTATAGTAGAAACCCGATGGCATCAATTTAGGAGTCTTCCAAATTAACTTCTCTCCGCGATCTCGACGCGTCGAGCCTCCAAAATGTGCGATGTTTGAAGCTACTGGAATTTTTCGACGCGTCGAGGCATGGGCTCGACGCGTCGAATTGCTGATGCTTTGACTTCTTCCTCTTTTAATAATTTCGTGCTTGAAATTCTTCCCTTGCTCTCACGCTCACCCTGTAATGGTGAAGAAAAACACTACCGAACACCGTAAGGCATTCAAAACAAGTGTAAAAACATAATCTAACGAGAAAGCAAGGAAAACAAGTAATAAATGGACATGATTCAATAACTTTGTTTCTAAAATGAATCAGAAAAGCTATAAAAACATGCACAGATGTGATAACATCATTAGGCTACTGAACGAAAAAAAAAAGGAGCAATTAGACCACTGAACACTCCAAAAACGTGCAATTAGGCCATTGAACACTCCAAATGTATGCAATTTCACCGAATAGCAGGTTACCATCAATTTTATCAGGTTACTTGCTTATGTGGCAGCTGAGTTGACATTTTAATAATTTTAAAATAATTTTTAATAAATTTTAAAAAATTGAAAAAAGAATAAAATAAAAGGACGGGGTGGCCGGCGGCCATCCTGTTGTTTTATTTTTTAAATTTATTTAAAAATTATTGCAAATGCCAACTCAGCTGCCACGTAAACAAGTAACCTGCTAAATTGATGGTAACATGCTATGAGGTGAAATTGCATACATTTGGGGTGTTCAGTGGCCTAATTGCATTTTTTTTTTCGTTCAATGGCCTAATTGCATTTTCAGGTTACGTTCAATGGCCAATTTGAACCTTATTCCTTAAACTAGTTGTTTTACGCGCTTTGCGCGAATGAAATAATGCCCAATGATTATTGGTAGGGTATATCCTGACCGGCCTGGGTTGGGCTTTTCTTGTTGTTTGTGCAGGATCTTTAGGTCGGGCGTCGTTTAGCCAGAGCGGTCGGACCCGACCGCTAGACTGCCCGACCGATGTCTCTTCCCGGTCATCACGCCTTCACCTTATGAAGATACGAAGAGGATGAAGAGAGGCACGTGGCAGTGCTATGCATTGACAGAAAGGGTTCACCGGGTGAAGACGCGTGGAGGCTACGTGGGTTACATGCCGGTAGGCCGGAAGTTTGTCTCCGGCCAAAGGCTATAAGTACTACGGCGGCTACAGTGAGGGGGACTTTTTGGACGATCGATAGGTTATTTACAGAGCTGCCCGACTGCAGTCAGTCGGCCATCGGAATAACCATATAGATTGTACTAGGACCACTTTTGATCACTAAAATTCCCCTTTACTACTATTATTTATTCACACTCAGTACTTTGACGGCATTACGTGGATATTTGTACTATCATATTGGCGCCATCTGTGGGGACCCGGGTACGAAAGTTATCGTAGACGAGTACCAAATCCCAATCATCAACAGGTTTCCATTCATGTACCAAGCACCGGAGGATGAGAAAGCAAGCTCGTCCGATCACAACTACACCCAACACCAGGGTCAAACGGTTGACCTTAACCTCAACCTTTCACCTCCACGATCGGCAGCTCCCAACCCGATCAATTATATTCAACCGACGTATCCAACGCCCGGTGAACAGTATCCGTTCCCGGCCAGTTATCCATACCCAGTTCCACCTCCCCAATATGGTTGTTGGCCCGGAACTCCAATGTATTATCCACCGGCCGGCTACCCGCCGTACATGCCTGCGTACACGGCTCCAGCTTCCGCTCCCCCGAATTACCCGACCATGCCGACCGAGCCCGAGCCTCAGCCCGCTTCCCGGGCTAGGCGCTTGGCTCGCTCGAGGTTGGAGTCGCAGGGGGCCGAGGTCATGGAGGAACCACGGCAGGAAACCCATGTTCAGGCGGATGAAGAGGCCGAGTTAGAAGCCAATCGAGCAAGCGCATTTGAGCGACTCCGACCGGCAATGAGACAAAGATTGGGACCGCAGGATCCAAATAGGCGCTCGGTTGATTCTCCTATGCGAGCAGCCAGTCAATTAGGGTCGTCAGAAAATAGTGGGTCTCAAGCCCATCGTCGCCGCCGAGCTCGGGAACCAGCCCGCACGATCGAGCAAGACGAGACCCGAGGAATGTTAAACGATCTTCGAGCAGAATTCACTCGCTGGCAAAATGAGCATGCCTCAAGGCCTCCTCTCGATCATACCGCTTCATTATTGTGGACACCCTTCACGGCGGAGATCATGGCTCAACCTTACTCGCTAGATTTGCGCATTCCTGGGAACAAAGAATATGATGGCCGGACAGACTTGGAGGTACACATCAACACTTACTATGGCAATATGTTGATGATGGGCGTGACTGACGCCGTGATGTGCCGGGCTTTCTACTCGAAGCTTTCTGGTCGGGCGGCCGAGTGGTTTCGAACATTGCAGCTGGGATCCATTTCTGATTTTGCTAGTTTGGCGACGAAGTTTACTCAGAAGTTTGTCACTTCCAAAGTTTTCCGGAAGCCTTACATGTACCTCGAGAAGGCTAAACAGTTGGAGGAGGAAAGTTTGACCGATTTACTAGTCAAGTGGAAAGCGGCGGTCGGAGAGGTCGAGCCTATGGACGACCTAACGGTTACTCACATGTTACATATTTCTCTCCGGGCGAGATATTTATATTAGGATTTTATACTCCACCCCCCTACCACCTATGAAGAAGCACTTCGAAGAGTGACGGATTATACCAATGCTGGAGAAGCAAATGCCGTCAAACGCTCTTAGGAGGTCGGATCTTCCCGGAAAGCTTCCGGTCGGTCAGACAATCGATTGGGTGAAGACCATCATCGACCACGAGAACGGCTGGGAGACTTCACGGCGTTAAACCGATTGGCTGCGGAAGCCATGTAATATGCGCTGTCCTGCAACCTTATCCGTCTACCTCATCCGGGACCGGATGGGCCGGATAAGTCGAAGCATTATGCTTATCATCGTTGTGCTGGGCACGACACGTAGGAGTGTACTCATCTGAAACAATTGTTGGAAGATTTTTTGCGATTGGGGAAGTTGGATAAGTGTGTGGGGAAGAGAGAAGAGAGCAAGAAACCATCTGAAAGAAAGGATCATAGACGCTCCCATCGCCCCGATCGATCAATCCAGGACCGGAGGGATCAAGACCGACGGGATCCCGATCCACCTTCGAGTGGTCGGCAAACCTCAAAGCTGACTATCCATGTTATATTCGGCGGTTTGGAAGATGCTTCCCAGGCTCGAAACCCTTGCCCGGTCGCGATCGTTGACTCTCGGGAAACCGGTAAGAGGCAAAAGATGGAGCCGATCACTTTCTCTCTCGAAGATCAACCGAGAGTGGATACACAGGAATGGAGGCGCTTGTTGTTACGATCGACATCATGGGAGTCGACGTACAAAGGGTGATGGTAGACACCGGAAGAAGTGTTAATGTCCTTTATTTGGACGTTTTTAAGAAGCTAAAATTTGACCGCCGAGAGTTGATTCCAGTCGGTGTACCCTTGTCGGGATTCACCGGGGCTACTATTCGCCCCGAAGGAAAAATCATCCTCCCGGTTGAGTTAGGAACTCCGCCCAAGTCAGTCAAGACGAAGATGGAATTTGTGGTCGTGAATCTTCATTGCGTCCACAATGTGATCCTAGGCCGTCCGGCCATTATGAAAGTTGGGGGAATTATATCTATGCCTCACCTGTGCATGAAGTTTCCCACCCCGGCTCGGGTTGGAGTTCTACGCGGTGACGTTCAGTCGACCAGGAAGTGCTATACCCGAGCGGTTAAT